CGCCTTTTATGTGTGAAATTAGGGTAATTTTGAAGTGAGCATGACTTATACTATGATCTGTAGGACTTGTAACATCCCTTGCAAACTTTATACTCGTCAAATTAATAGCTGAAGGTTTTAGCTAACGAGGTTATCTACGTCACTGTCTGACTTTTTCGACATACTGACTGCTGATCAGAAGCATTTTGATTCGGAGCGCAACTCCACTTCACCAACCGTCGCTGTTGTGGTGGCTGTCAAGCAGGTACCCGGTTTTTTTCTTCTTGATCTTATGTTAAAAATTGCAAGTGCTTGCAGGCAAGAGCAAACATACTGCTAACCATGGGTTCAATGCCTTCGCCATACGACAGTTGTCCAGCCGTGACAGAGAGCATTTTAGATAATTTATCAGGTAGGGCATAATATGCAATGTGAGAAAGAATAACGCTTCGAAGAATGACAGAATTCGACACACTGAATTCCATGATATGCGACACGTAATGAGATTTCCTTCTGAATAGGAGAGACACATGATAGAGATGACAAATATGCAAATTAGTGCTTGGACTGATCGTTGACTTGTACAGTTTCACTTTCCTCGTCCTGAAAAAAAAAACCATCAGCCAGCCATTTAATACTCTCAGCGTAATGATGAGGGGTTCTTACCTCATTAAATTCCTCTTCTGGTTCACTTTTGTTTTTGGATGATGTTCGCAGCCATGGCGGCATTTTGCCAAGCATCTTTTGTCGCTCACGTATTCTTGCAGGAATTCGTCGAGAATCTTTTCGCGTTGTTGTTTCCTCTTCCTCCTGTATACATTCACCATATTATTCTAATTCGTAGAACTAATGCAATTTCCGAAAAGAGTTGAATGATTCTTACCTCTTCTGCTCCTTCATCATCATCTTCTTCGTCCTCTTCAGCTTCCTCCTCTTCTTGTGGTGCTGGCGGCGCAGTCTGAATATGAACACATTCTATATATCTCTCTCCATATTTATTAATTCTGGGACGAACCGTTATAAGATATTTCGGTTTCATAGCCGAATTCACTTGATGCCTCATGAAAGGCGATCCTGCTGCAGGTTTATGCGAGAGTCTCCAGAACCGATCCATGTTCACCTAATTTGGCGCTATCTTGAAATGTTTTTGGGGACTCCAACTCACTAACCTTTCTTCTTGGCACCTTTGAAGTTGTGGTTGTCGCTTCAGTTGTTGTTGTGGTCGTGGTGGGTTCAGTTGTTACCGAATCTTGGCTAAGTTCTGTCTCTTCGGTATCTGAATCGTATCCTGTTTAAACATTCCGCGAAAGTCAATCACCTCTAGACTAACCGTCTTCATCTTCGTCCTCGTCTTCTTTACTCTCTTCTTCGTCATCCTCTTCTTTCGCTTCCTCTTCATCGTCTTTTTCTTCCTTGGAAGGCGTTGTTTCTTCGTTTGAAGATGTTGTTTCTTCTGCAGAAGTTGTCGTATCCTCCTCCGATGATGTCGATATTGCTGCAGTTGTCGTCGTTGGAGCTGCGGTGGTAGTGGGTGGTTTTCGATTACAGCAGGGTGGCTGTGCAGGGCGTGCCAGAGCCTATACATGTACTTTTCTCTGTGGTAATTCGAAGAAAGTCTGAACGCTATACCTTTGGACAAATGTCGGGAGTCTCCTCTTGCCATTTTGTTTTGCAAATGTTGTTGGGCTCTGTTGTCAAATTTATAGCTTGAGGGCCATTCATGACGTGGAAACCGTCTTGTGAACAGACCATAGGATTTTCTGTAGAAGTGGGCTGTGAAGAGGAAACAAAAGGTAAATAAGCAGTGCATACCTTGTAACCGAACAGTAAGATGATCAGTTCCCTGGATTGCACCTTGCTGGAGAGATTGGATTTTGTTATTTGCGAGATCGATGGTGTGGAGATTTGCGAGATGATTGAATGAAAGAGGCTAGAAATGCAATTTATGATCTACATTCATGGTAATTCAAGCATAATTGTTATGGAAAGGTTTCGACAAGGTTTTTTACCTGGATATCCTTGATATTGTTGTTAGCAAGTGACAGCTGGCGCAAGAATAGTGCACCTTGGAAAGTTGTTGGGCTGATTGTATCCAAACAATTGTTAGGTAGCCATAGAAGTAATAGTGGAATTCCTGCGAACGCTCCAGGAGCAATCGACTAGAAATTTTTTTTATTAGACTCATAAGTTGTTACTATATCGCAGAGAACATGAACATACCTGGATATTGTTGCTTTCAAGATTCAAGTGCTGCAGACTTTCTAATCCTGCGAAAGTATCAGTGGTTATCTCCGATAATTTGTTAAATGCCAGGTCAAGCACCTGAAAAGAGCTTTACTGAGAA